GTCCTGGCTCGGCTGCCTTCTGAACTGTCTTCCTATTTTAAAATATTGCATAAAAGGATGAATTTCTGTAGGTGTAGCAGCATATATATACAGAGAAAGGACATGTAATTACCTTCCCCAACTTTCTAAAGCCCTTGCAGACAGAATTTCTATAAAGTTTCATTATTGGAGCTCCAGAAAACCTCTGGAAGACTTGGTTTTTTTCTGTTATTTATACACACACACACACACATATATACACACACAATCTCTTTAAGTGTTTCAGTTTTCAGTCTTGTTTCTTTTGCTTCTCCTGCCAAACCACGCACGCCAACCTTAATATGCATATCATGTACGCAGACATTCGAGATACTAAAACCAGAACAGCCTCTTTTAAGGGAAAAAAACAGTATTTTGGGGTTGGAGTTCTCCTTGTCTGTCTGGAACTTTGTGATTTATATGAAAAAGTCTAGCACTAAAGCTGCTGTTGAAAGGATTAAGGTCCTGTAGGCTCTGCCAGCACCAAGTGTGAATTTTAGGAAGAACATCTGCGGGGTACGTTGTGAAGTCTCACTTTGTGGGGCAGTGGGGGTCACACTCCGTGCCTTGGAAAGCCCTTTCCTGGAAATCTCATGGGAGAACAGGGCTGTGAGCTTTAAAAAAAGTCTTGACTTCCCACAGCAACAGTGCACAGACATCAGTTGACACCTAAATCTGTACAGAGAGAAAAGGCTCTTCTGGGCATCAGAGCTGTCAGAGCTTTGGTGGACTGGGCAGACTGAGCTTACCAATGACACATCTCAACTTCTAGATACAGAGAGCAAACACTAAAGGGAACTCTGGATAACTCACTTCACTTCCCAATTCAAAAATGATTGCTCTGTCTGCCTGTACATTGCTCAGGTGAGGAGTCTCAGACAGGTTCAGGAGGGAATTCTGCTAGCAAATTAATTTTTCTTATACTGCTCTAATTTAGCTTTCACGAGCACCCCTTCCCATCAGGAATCTTCTCTAACCTCATCCCATAGTTTTCCACTCAAGTAATCAACTAAATTCTGATGTGAGGACCTCACAGTTTACACACTTACAGTAAAGCCATACACTTAATAAATTATAACTGCTTCGAATTCTGCACCCACTGTATGTAAAACACACATAAAGTGATTTTATAAACTGCTGGCTTACACTTGGAATGCAGATTGTAAGAGCCCTGCCACTTGGGAAGGAAGCAGTCCTATGGCATGGCTTCTCCAGCAGGAGAAAAGGCAGGTTGTGCTCATATTGATGATTCCCATTGCACAGCCTGTGGGAATGGCTCGTGTTTCACTTGAAAGTTATCCCTTTCCTGTTTACTTGGGGGAGCACTCAAAAGCTTTTTAGAAATTCTTCCGTTTTTCTTGGCATGGGGCTCTTAATTCCTGTATGGATTTTTATTGTGGCCTCTTTTTTACTAGATATGGATATTTCGGCTGCTAACGAGTAGTTCAGTAAAAAAAATATCCAAGTGGTTTGGCTAAAGAGAGATCTCCAAACATAATGTTTGTGGGGTTTTAAGTGTCCTTTTTACCCTTCCATAAAAGCTACATCCATAGCTCTGTTCTGAGATCACTGAGATTCACACCTTTTGCAAAGTAAGCCATTTTCACTGTAAATATTTAGGTGTAGGATTTTATTTATAATATTTGGATGTTAGGAAGATCACCCTTTTCAATCAGTGAAAATAAAGCCTTCCCAAAAAAGCATTTCAGTCCCTTTCCTTTGACTCACACATGGAAAGGTAAAAATCCTTGATTTTAGGCATGTAACAGAGGTTGGGTAAAAACCCTTCTTTCCTTTCTTTGGCTGGCCTGTAAAATCAAAGCAGAATGCAGACCTTAATCTGATTTTGAGTTATAACATGCAAAGTTGATCTTGAAAGTACTTGAAGTCAAGCACTGAGTGTTTTTAAACAATTTTAGGACATTTTTATGACAGTTAACTGTGGCTATAAAGCATTAAAAAAAAACACCTATCTGTCCAGTTTAGAAATGTTCAGGTTTTACAGTTGAAGGAGAAATATTTGTAAACAGTTTTTAATTCTCTGCAGATGCCGTTTCGAATCATCATTTCATATGGATTATGTGGTTCCAGAATTGTTTTTGCTAAAGTTTCTGTCCACCACAGGGAAGTGTCATTGCAGACTGGAGACAAAGTGGTGGCCTCAAGGACAGAGGGACAGGGAGCTGTGCCAGCCCCTGGTGTCCCTGGATATGCCCTCTCCTATTGCTTCTCCCTCGTGTACCAGAGTTTCCTTGTTGTTTCTGCTCAGAGTCTCCATTAAAATGAGTTTATTGTCTCAATGGATGTTGGAATGTTAAAAGAGAATCTCTTAATTATGTTCATTTTTCTGATATCTGTCTGTTTAAGGTTGTTTATTCATGTAGGATGAGGCTTGTAACGTGGGTGACAGAGCTCTTGCCAGCCCTCACCCCTGTGTTTATTTAAAGCCACTGTGTGATTTACTGCAAAACCTTCCCAACATCTACCAAGTGTTTATTGATGGATGAGCTCGATTGAGACGCCCCAGCTCGTAATTCACAAGTCACAACATAATTCAGCAAAGGAATGTCTGCTTTCAGCACACAGCGCAGTGATACGACATCGAGTTGTTCCAGATGTTGGTGATCCCTCCAATAAAGATCCCTGACGTTGGTTCAGCTGCAACTCCTCACTTGGTTTAAAACAGACTCTGCAGTGACTTTGGCCTCACACAGTAGCAACCTCTGGTGCTTAACCACTGCTCCCAGGATGGCTCTGTGGAGGCAAAGTGGGATGAGTATTTACACGTTGCCTTTTTTTCTGTGTCCTGTAGAAAAAAGAACTCACCCTGAATGAATCATACCCAGCCCACCATTGAGTTTAACTTTCCTTGAACCAAATGTTGCCTCTTCCCCATCATTAAATATTTTTTTAAGCACCCCCTCCCTGTGAATTGTGCCAGCTCAGGCATTGATGAGCATCAGCATCCTCATCCTGGAGCAGGTGAGGGGCCATTTCAGCAGTGCCTGAACCTGCTTGTGTGCTTGGGAAGCTGTTAAACTTGGTGAAATATAAAAGGAATTAAATTGAATTAAAAACACAGGGACATGGAAGTTTTCCCTGCACTTTTACTGGAACTGCTGGCTTCCTGACCTGCACCTTTGCTGGGGATGGTGCTCATGAAGAGAAGCTGGGTGGTGCAAACAAATACTGGGGTCTGGAGGGACAGTGCCAACACCTGTGGCTTCTTGAGCAGGAGTTTTAAACCTAATATGGACACACAGACAGAGGTGTGTCTCAGGTAAAGCTTCCATGTCAGCCAAGACATCACCAGACTGTAGGAAAAGCTGAGCAGGAGTGGTTTGAACCGTGATGGTGCCACCTGTACAAACCCAACCTGTGCAAAAGGAGTCAGTAGTTAAATGGTAAGTGCTGATGGGCAGTATCAGCCTCCCAGTGCAGGCCTGGAACAAGGAAAGGTGGCTGAATCATGGTACCATCCCCCGTGGCAGGGGGTTCATGGCATGTTTGGTCCAAAAACACAGGTGGGGCAGTTTCAGAAGGAGCAAGTCTCTTCCAAAAAGTCTGTACTCATCAGGGCAGCTGCAGCCATCCACTTGTCCATTAGCCAGAGTTGAGTCAGATCACACAGACCTTGGCCTCAGACCTGGATTTCGAATTCTGATGGTGAAACTGGTTATTTATGCCAAAAAAATAGCTTATTTTCCTATCATTTAATCTCTGTATCACCACACAGCATGCAGCACTCTTGGAAAAATCAGATTTATCTCGTGGAAGAAGTCAGCATTGCTAGTCAAGATTTGGTGGTACTTTAAACAGCAGGAGATTAGACTTCCAAATTTGCAGCAGAGGCTATTCTGGGCAGGGATTGGTATAATCCTGTGTGGTAATGGATGCCTCAGTGTGCTGAACAGGGAGCACAAGGTACAGGTTGATCTCTCCAGAGAAGGTCAAATGCTGCTCACTCTCACCATATATGGGTTTGAATAATAAATGGTTTTCCTTCCTGGGATAAAGACACTGAGTTTTTCTGTCTTGGCATCAGTTGGACTGCAAGGAATGGATTGTTTTGTTTGTAATGCTTTGCTAAGAAACACGTCAGAGTGGTTACCTGCCCTGTGCTGATAAACGGCAGGGAGGCAGAGCCCCAAGGAGATGGTGCTGTGGGCCAGCCTGCCATCTGCAGGCCACTGCTGCCGTGCTGGGGACGTGGACAGCAGGGCTCTGGGGGCCCTTTAATCTCCAGAAATTATTATGTGTAACAAGCTGGTTTTTTTCCTAATAAATGCTATGTAATAAATCCAAGTTTTTCCCATCCCATCCCACCCCTAGTCACCTGCATTCTTAAAAAAAAAAAAAAAACACAACCAAGTATAGTAGAGATCAAAAAAAAACACAACCAAGTATAGTAGAGATCAACAAACCTCCTCTAGAAGTTGATGAATAATTGCTAATTGGTTTTTTTACTATCTGTTGTTCGCTTTCATAAATTAATATTTTTGTGCTTAGAAATGGGACATTTCATATGACAGTCAAATTCTCTCCATTGTTCTCAGTCCATTAAATGTTTATGGGGGGTGGCCTTAGATGAACAGCACCACTATAATGTTCAACTGTTGAATCTTTAAAGTTTTGTTGAGAAGGGAATATGTTTATATGACAGACAGGTGACTTCCAAGCACCTCAAAATACTTGTTTTTGTAGTCCACAAATGGTTAGTGGATTCATTAGTTTAAATATTCTGATTGTTACCTTCTTATCGCCCGGGTATTTGAAGGATAAATGATCTGTACTTTCCTTAGCTGTTTTATTAACCATTGCTAAGAAATCTCAGCTGAGGTTTTAATCTGGGAGAGAATTCACTGTAGGTAAATTCCTGCTCAATTTACAGCTTTCAAAGGTATAACCAAATTCCCTGTTTAAAGTGAAAACTCCGGTGTGCCACCACATAACCCTTTGGTCGCTTTTTGTCTCCGTTTCAGGTCTTCCTGAACAATACTACAGCCTCACTTGGTTCCTCAGCCCCATCCTGGGCCTGATCTTCACTCCGCTCATCGGTTCGGCCAGTGACCGCTGCACCCTGAGCTGGGGCCGCCGGCGGCCTTTCATCCTCGCCCTCTGCATTGGTGTCCTCTTTGGAGTTGCACTTTTCCTTAATGGTTCTGTGATAGGTAAATAACAAGGAAAACTCCCCTGCCTGTGTCTCCTAACACACCTGCTTTAAGGTTGCAGTGTAGGAGGTGGAGATAATGTTCCGCAGTTGGCATAGCTCGTATTTAATGCTAAAATCAGGAGAGATCTCCACAGCCTTGCACTTGAGCTTTATCCACCTTGCGTGGTTTTATTTTCACTCACAGGTTGCCGTGCTGAGCGTTGTGCAGTCGTGGCTGTTACTGGTAGCACAGTGTTATTAATACAATGGTTGCCAGAATAATGTTTGCAGTCGCTGAGACGAATTTGGTCGATCCTTGACATGGGAAAATCGTAGCAACCTGTTCACAGGGAAATGTTTCCTGTTGTGATCCGTTTTCCCTTTAATGCATATCTGGCAACACATCCTGTTTCCAGCATTATTTCAGAAATTATCTTTTCACTTTTTCTTGTGCTTTTCTTAGACCCAGTATTGAAAAAGTCCAGAACACAGTTAATATTTGTTTATCAAAAACCATGTGGGAAAATAATTTTTCCTGATCCCCCATCAAAGCTGGTAAAAATAGTTTCCCTTGAACATAGTTTACTACAGAATTTAATCTACAATCTCATTGTAAATTTAGTGCAGGAGAGGTGACAGCGAGTACCTTTGGGGAATTGTTTACATCATGGTTGGACTGATGGAAACGAAAGGAACTTAGCACCTAACAACATCCTCTTGGCTCTCTTTTTTTGGGTTAGGTGCAGCTCTATTGTGAAAAAGTTAAAGTAATTGAGGGAAATGAGTGGAACATTATCTTGGCTCAGCTTGTTAAAGCCAGACTGGGATGCCGTATGATGGGTTTGATTTTTCTACAAAGTGCAGTGAACAAACTATTCAGATAAATTACGCTTAGCTTATGCTTTTTTTAATTTACCCAAACAATAAATATTATTTGCTTGAATTGCTATCACGTGTCCCAGGGGAACAACTGAACTCTTGCTGTCTCCTGCACTGTTCAGGTTTCCCACAGCACTGACACCATTAGTGTTTTCTGCTGTAGGGCTCAGCTGAGCCTGGAACACTTAATAAACTTCTTTAGCCTTCAAAGGACTTGGTATAAATGAGAATTGAATATGCAGGAATCAGCACTTGAGATTCAGATGATTTTTGGTGCCTTAGCGAGTTCATCTCCTTCCACAGTCATTTTCATCAGTTACACTAATGGTTTTATCAGAGCCTCGCACGCGTAACTTCTAAATCTCTCTGATTCAAGTAATTCATGCTTTTGTCACTGGTTCATCTCATGACAAATGATCCAGCTCTACACTAATGCTGCCTTTCTACTCCTCAGACAAAAAGCATTTCATCCTGTGCTGGCAACAGAAGCTGACTGATGCTTTTTGCAATGCAAAATACCTTCATGTTGCTTCATCCTTAAAAGTTTTGCTTACAAAAAGGGATCTAGAAAATGGGAATGTTTAAGAAAAGCAAAGAGAGAGAGGTGAAGGGGTTAAATTTCAGTTTATCCTGGGGTACTGTGACTGCTGCATGTAAAGCACCATGTCAGGAATGCTGTCAGCAGTGCAGCTACCCGTGGTTGTAACTAACAGGTGAAATATCTCATTTTTGGTGTTTCCCCTCTCCCACCATACCTTTTAGAAAAACAGCCTTCAGCAGTTGAAGGGAAATACATGGGAGGAATATGAAATAATTTAAGAGATACTTCAGAAATAACATTCTGAAAAATAAATGTCAGTCTTAGGGAACATAAGAACATACTTTGTCTCAGACCTTCCGTGACGCCAGAGAGCTGAAATTGCCGTTTTGCTCCTTTGTAAAGGAATGTTTGCAGCCAGCCTGGTGGCCACCTCTCTCTTAAAGAGTCAAACTTGCTCTTAGGAGTTTTCCCTTTTTTGGAATGACATGCCCAGATTCCTCTCCCGTTTCCCCTCAGGTCTGGCTATTGGTGATGTCCCGGACAAGCAGCCCATCGGAATAGTCCTCACAGTGCTCGGTGTGGTGGTGTTGGATTTCTGCGCTGATGCCACTGAAGGGCCGATTCGGGCCTACCTGTTGGATGTGGTGGACAGTGAAGAGCAAGACATGGCCCTTAACATCCACGCCTTTTCAGCTGGTATGGACTTAGCTGAGATGTTTTTGGCAGCAGATCAGTCTTCCTGATGACCAAGTTGGGACTGAATTGATTTTTCCTGAACTGACTTTTTTTTTTTTTTTCTCTTTTCCACAGGCCTTGGAGGAGCAATTGGTTATATGTTAGGAGGGCTGGACTGGACACAGACCTTCTTGGGTGGCATTTTTAAATCTCAACAGCAAGTCCTTTTCTTCTTCGCAGCCATTATTTTCTCTGTCTCCGTTGCTCTCCACCTTTTCAGCATTGAGGAGGAGCAGTACAACCCTCAGCAGGACAGGATCGATGAGGAAGGAGACACGCTGTCCAGCGTCAAATTCAGCGGCAGTCTCCCCCCTCTGAATCGACTGAATGTAATCAGCGAGGAAGAGCCGTATGGAACTTCCATGTTCCACGACGAGGTTCAGTCAGAGCATGATCTCAATATGGAGTTCCTGGAGGTGAACATTGTGAGAAGCAAGAGTGACTCGGTTCTGCACATGCCGGATGCCACGCTGGAGATCGAATCGGAGCTGCTTTTCCTGCACGACATCGAACCCTCCATTTTTCAGGATGCTTCGTATCCAAACACTCCCCACAACACAAGCCAGGAGATCATGAAGTCCAAACTCAACCACCTCTCAGCTTTCCTCAGGGACAGTGAGAAAGAGGAGGAGATGCTGCTCGATAACCGCTTAAACGAAGACAAAGTCCCAAACGTCAACGGCTCCCTACCGAAAGAGTTCCTCAACGGGCACGCCAGGATAGGCATGAAACAATCCAGCACTTGCAACTCCATGCGGAGGCGGCGGCACATGTTCTACCGGCAGCCGTCCTACACCTTCTCCTACTACGGCAAGATCGGCTCGCACCGGTACCGGTTCCGCCGCGCCAACGCCATCGTGCTGATCAAGTCCTCGCGCAGCATGAACGACATCTACGACATGCAGAAACGGCAGCGCCAGCGGTGCCGCCACCGCAACCAGAGCGGCACCACCAACTCCAGCGGCGACACCGAGAGCGAGGAGGGCGAGACCGAGACCACCGTCAGGCTCCTGTGGCTGTCCATGCTCAAGATGCCGAAGGAGCTGCTGAGGCTCTGCGTCTGCCACCTCTTGACTTGGTTCTCCATCATCGCCGAGGCCGTGTTCTACACGGATTTCATGGGGCAGGTCATCTTCCAGGGCGATCCGAAGGTGAGGGGGCAGTTCCCACGGGCAGACCCGCCTGGGGTTCCTGATTTCTGAGGTGTGCTCGGTACAAGACAGCAACATTTGTGTTTGTGTCTGTTGCAGGCCCCTTCCAACTCGACTGAGCTGCACGCCTACAACGCTGGGGTTCAGATGGGCTGCTGGGGGCTGGTGATATATGCTGCTACTGCTGCTGTTTGTTCGGGTAGGAGACTGCACCATCTCACAGTAGAATGCACCCAAAGCATGTATTTACTAGAATACATGAATTTTAGAGTCATAGATTATCATTACCTGGAAGGGACCGAGGATCATTAAGTCCAACTCCTGGCCCTGAAATAGTTTTTGCTTCAGTCTGCACCCACCTCCTTGTTTGGGGTGAAGGACATCCGGGAAAAGCATTTCACGTGGTCATGAGGGGAAGGGCTTCTTTAAGAATCAATATGAAAAAGTTCCTCCAAATGTAGAGGTGGAAAAATGAGCAGATGGTGAAGTGGCACAAAGCGCAAAATGAAATCAAAGGATATTGAGTGGCATTTAGCGAGTCATCAGGAAACTGAAGTCATGCTTGGTAGAAGATTCAAGCATATGTTAGGAGGGTTTTTGCAAAGACTGTTTTTAAATCAAAATTATAAATATGTATTTCTGAAAGTCATTCTGCAGATAATTTGGACTTGGACTAGACTCTGAAATTGAGAGTTTTTGCCAAACTTAAATTCTGCCTTTTGCAGCACGTGTGCAGGCACGTCTGCACAGCTCAGTGGGGACGGGCTGCTGCTGAAGCAGGAATTCATCCCGGGCTGTGCTGCTCAGGGAACCCAAATATGCACCCGAAAACTTCAGTGACTAAACTGGGATTTAAGGGGAAATGACCTCAAGTTGAAAGAGAGGAGATTTAGATTAGGAAAAGAATGTTTACTGTGAGGGTGGTGAGGCCCTGGAACAGGTTGCCCAGAGAAGCTGTGGCTGCCCCATCCCTGGAAGTGTTCAAGGACAGGTTGGATGGGGTCTGAGCTCTAGAGGAAGGTGTCCCTTCCCATGGCAGAGGGGTTGGAACGAGATGATCTTTAAGGTCCCTTCCAACCCAAACCATTTTATGATTCTATGATTTCTGTTTCATTCTCTGTCTCTGCAGCCTTATTGCAGAAATACTTGGACAACTATGACCTGAGCATAAAAGTGATCTACATCCTGGGCACGCTGGGTTTTTCCCTGGGCACTGCAGTGATGGCCATGTTCCCCAACGTGTACGTCACTATGATAATGATCAGCACGATGGGAATAGTGTCCATGAGCATCTCCTACTGCCCCTATGCGCTTCTGGGACAATACCACGAGATTAAACAGGTATGTGGAATATTTGAGTCATTCTTGTTTCTCGAGTCATTCACGTTTCTTCTTTGGGATTGGGAGGGGGGATTCCTTTTTATAATTACAATTCCCACCAAATGTTTCATGTAAATCTTTTTTTTAAAAAAAACCTAAACTTGGACCTGATTTGTGCCAAAGTGACCCAGCAAATACCTGCCTCACGCTGCAAGGTGAGGAGGCTGTTGATTGAGTAGGTGTTTCTCTGGAGTTGTGATGCCACAAGGAGGACGTGAAGTCACCCACAGGCACGAGAAATTCGAGGAAGGCTCTGGCGTTTTGATTATTTGCTTTCAGCCATTGTTTTACCTCCCCTAACACACTTCTCGCCTTTTCCCCCAGTACATCCACCACAGCCCCGGGAACTCGAAGCGAGGGTTCGGCATAGACTGCGCCATCCTGTCGTGCCAGGTTTACATCTCCCAGATCCTCGTGGCCTCCGCGCTCGGCGGCGTGGTGGACGCCGTGGGCACCGTCAGAGTCATCCCCATGGTGGCTTCCGTGGGGTCTTTCCTGGGGTTTTTGACAGCCACCTTCTTGGTGATTTACCCCGAAGTGAACGAAGAGCCAAAGGAAGAGCAGAAAGGACTGGGCCCTCCAGAGGCAGCCGAGGGTGGTGGCGGCAGCGCGGGCGCGGAGAAGCCGACGGTGCTGAAGCTCACGCGCAAAGGAGCCGCGGCCGCCGAGCCCGAGGGCGAGTCAGCCGTGTGAGCCCCTCGCTGCTCACCCACATTCCAAGGAGGTGCAGGTGCAGGATCAAGAACTCTTGTTGGTTTGGTTTTTTTTGGGGTTGTTGGTTTGGGTTTGTTTTTTTTTTTTTTCCAGGTTAAAAAAAAAACAAAACAAAACAAATTAGGACCTTCACTACTCGTAGCTAAAATCTGCAGAAGAAGAGGCAGTTTCGTGCAAAAAGTGTAAATGAAGTTCTGTAGTCCTTCCTCTAAGGTTTGAGCGGGTCGCTCGGATGCTGATTGCTTTCTCCACAACTTAGAGACGTCATTTCTGAACACTTTTTTTATTAAGAACACATTTAGATTTCGAGTAAGTTTTATTAATCTGCATGAGACTCACAGTGTATACAATTAGCAGTTAGGAAAAAAAATTTAAGTTTTCGGCTGTTTTTAAACTAACGGAAAATGGAAGCGATCTCCACCCTCTAGTCTCTTGCCATTCTTTTTGTCTGAACATTTCAGATTTCACCAGTGTAATACCCGAATCAAACGCTCAGACAACGATCAGTTTTTTTTTCAGGAGCATGGTATTACTGGTCTGACAGCTACTTTGATTTTAGACTTCATGTTTTTGTTAGTGCAATTACTACAGAACCCTTTGATTTTGCAATTATTTTCACGAAAAGCGAAAGCGATTACTGCGGTTTCTGAGAAACTGCCGTGAATTCTTTTTTCAGTCATAACTGTTCACAGCCACTCCCAAATCTGCTGCTCTTCGGGGGGAGGGTGTCACTGGGTGCTGGATTTCAGCCCTGGATGGAAGGAGCAGCAGCTGGGAGAGGTGACCAGCACTCACAGGTTTGTTTTTTTTTTATCACAAGTGCTGCATTTTATGAATGTCGTTGGAATACGCTGTGACAATTCGTAGCTGGGAATTCTACGTGCTGTGGTGAACTCGGGGGGGTTTTCTTGGCATTTAAACCTGATCATCTCTGGATGAAGCTGCCACGGAGAAAGGGCGTCTCCGATGTCAGCTTCGTGGGAGGGGGCGTGCGGATTCTCTTCCGTAGGGAAAGGAAGTCGTGGATTAATTGCACTTTTTATGATCCTTTAACCTCGGGGCTGGGAAGCGCCGCAGCCGAGGTGAAGGCACGGGGTCAGTACAACAAGGTGAGCCCAAGGCCTACCTCTGTCACTTTATGGCATAGTCTGGGTGTATAAAAAATCTCTGTCAGAAACAGGTTTTTTTAGGCCTTAAAATTCCAGTGTTGCTGTTCCAGTCCCTGTGTTGGAGGAATTGTAGGCCGGAGCTCTCCCGAGCTGCGGTTCCGGTGTCGTCAGCGCATCCTCCTGCCCCCCTTCCGTGGTTCAGGACACAGCTGCAGTGCAAAGACATTCTTCTGGGAAGAGCTTGCAAGAGTTGTGCTAGTCTGATTCAAAATAAGTTTGGATCACTATCCAGCAGCCAACTTAAAGCAACTTTTGAAACCAAACTTCCGTTTGTCCTTTGTCAGAAGAGTTTGTGACGCTCTGGACTCGTTTTGGGGTGGGCCCCCAGGCTGCCCTCAATCCATGTGCTGGACAGACACATCACAGAGCGGTGTGACATTCCTGCTGCCTCAAACTCCTCCTGCTCCAAGACTTTCAAATGCCTGTGTCAATCATGCTGCAATCCAGGTGAAGAAGCTCTGTTTCAAACTGAGAAGCTGTTTTTAATACATTACTTGAATCGTCCATGTGTTTGAGAAATGGATGTTTGGGTGTATTTGAGGGCTGGTGTCCCTGCCAGATTCCTGGTGGCATCCGTGGATTTCTCAGCTGAAGGCTTCCAGTCAGCACCAATGGCCTCTGCTGTCAAGGGTGACATCATGAAGTTCTGAAGTACCTGTGATCACACAGGACTTAGGGGCTGTTTTTTTAACAAGTATCTTGAGAAAGTCTTCTTTTGTCCTTTGGGAGGAATATTTTTTTTATCCAGAACACGACCTGTGAACTGTGTTCAGCCAGGGGAGCGATACTGCTGAGGGGTGTGAGACCTTACTGGAGAAATCAGTCATGAGAAATCCTTGAACTGAACTTGTGCCGTGAATTTTATCATCTCAGTGACATTTGATATATTCTGGTCATGTCCCACCCTAGGACTGGCATCTGTGTGAGTTACACACTTTAAAGTGGCTTTAATGGCTTAGTTTTGAAGATTCCTGAAGATTCTGCTTTCTGTTAAATGACCTCTGACCACTACTCCTCATTTTAATCTCTCCTGCTGGAAAGGGTCTTCAGTTTAAAAAACCTGCATCCTCTGACCGGTGCCAGCCTTACCCTTTCCCCAGGAGTCCCACGGATCAGCCTGGATCAAATTGCTGGTTACTCCACATTGCACCTTCTAAGCCCAGCTCTCTTTCACTGCACCAACCCCACTGACCAAGGAGCTGCAGAGAGGGAGGAGAGCTCAAAGCTCCCTCTGACTTCACACCCACCAGAGAGACCATGACACCATTTTGGGGGTGAGCTCACCCACATTTATTGAGCTTTCTCAGCTAGGGAAGGGCGAGGAGGGAGGAAGGACCTGTCCAAATGATGATTCCAACCCAGAGGTTTCAAGCAAAGGCAAGGCATGGCCAGTTTTGTCCTGGGCAGTGCTTGGGACAGCCTCATTTCTAGGAACTGGATGTCCAAATCCGTCTCTGGAGTTGTTTGTGGGGCTCACAAGGCAGGAATACGCGATTGCCGTAGCAGGAAGCTGATTTCACTCCCCAGTAACAGTGAAGGAAATAATTATTCATTGTAAACACACTGAAGTATTTGTAGTGTTGCCAGAAGAATTAACTTGGGCAGCCCCAGCCAAAGCATCTCCTCCTGTCCCTGGGCCAGCCTGGGAAACCCCCACACCACCTTCACCTGCTGAGGGCTTTTCCTTGGATTTGAGTTTTCTTCCTCACCCCAGCACTTCTCAGGGGTAGAGTGGACAACAGTTTATTTCTTCATCTGTCCCTCACCTTATCTTTTGATACAGAAATTGTTTTTTTTTTTTTTTTTTTTGCCACAATTCAAGGTAAAGGAGTACAAATTGAAGTCTTTATTGCAGAAGTTGTGGGAAGAGAGATTTGAAGTGGCTTTTTTGTCGTTGTTCCTTGTGACAACAAACACCATTTTTTGTTTGTGGGTTATCCCTGTCTAGTCAAAGTCATCCCCTTGGACTTTCACTGCAGTAGGACTGAGGTTTGGTGGTTTAATTCTGTGTTACTTGATGCTATAAGCAATTTGAACCTGTTGTGCTGCAGTGACACCTCAGGCACGAGGCACTGTTTGTGCTCAGAGTCTTCAGGGCTGGAGATGTTTGATGTGAGAGCAGAGAAGCTTTAACTTCCACCCCCTTGGAAAGGCAGAGTGTGGGTTTGGCCCTGTTGGGTCATTCCAAGAGTCCAGTCCGATCTGTGCTGTTTGTGGATGGCAATTTCAGACTCCAGAAGCAATAATTTCTTAGGAATGTTTCTCTTCCTGCTGGTTTGATGACTTTATAGAGATTTATTGCCTAAATAGCCTTTTAATAACAGGAATCTGGTGTTTTGCTGGCGCTGGCTGTGAGCAGTTATGGGAAGACGGGGTTTGTTCATCACCAGGAGGGAGGAAGCCAGTGGAGCCAAGGGAGGGCTGTGCTCAGTGACAACATACCACATCCTTCTCCCCTTTCCCTCAGAGCCTCTTTCCAGGCTCTGGAATACTGGGCTGGAAAGGAGGCGGCTGCAAATTCACCCTCCTGGTTTTCCTGCCGATGGATGGTGGCACAGAGACCCCGGGATGGAACGGGACATGTGGGGTTTTCCACAGAGGCAAGGACTGAGTCTCTCTTATCTCCCTCCCATCTAATCTGAATCCCCCAAGCACTTGGAATGACAGTGGCAACAGTGGTGCTTCTTGCCAGGTACCTCATTAAAACCTGGTTCCATCCTTAGGAACGGGTTCCCTGGGTGAGCTTGGATTTCCTCCAGCATCCACCACAAAAGGAAGGCCAGGATTTTCCTGGCTGCCAGCTCTCACAGCCCTGCAGGCTGAGCCACACTTAGGGGTAAAGGTGGAAGAAGTCCCAGTTTGTTCCTGGGAGAGCTGCACCCACATCTGGGCAGGAGGGAAGTGCAGGGAGGGCAGGTGCCTTCCTGGAGTCCCTGAATCATAGTCTAGTCACTGAGATCTGGGGTTTTAGGGGTGTGTGTGGGTGTGTCCATTCCCGTGTGTCTGTACATCTGCAGACACTGCTCAGCCAAAATACCTTTGGGGGTTGTGTGCTCGCTGTCACCACTCCACAGCATCTTCAACTGAGTTCTTCCAGGTTTCCCCTCATCCCAGCCCGATGCTCAGCTATAAATATGTATCCTATTTCAATGAACAAGTAAACTCCTGCATGATATTCCAAGCACATGTAGCAGCTTCGGCATCTGAAGTATCTGTTGTGAGAGAGAAGTTGGTTTTCTTTGCAGCTGTTTTTGTCCTCGTTTCCTTTGAATAGGCCAAATAAATGTAACAGACACCAAATGTTGCACAGAAACGCTGTTGATGACTGTGTGGAAGAAATACCAAATTTTATTTTTCTTTGCAGAAACTTTATGGTTCCAGAGAGTCCTTTAGATGTTTCCCTTCCTTAAACGACAAAGCTGAACGTTTGTAAAGCGCGTCAAAAAAAAACAAAAACAAAACAAACAAAAAAAAGGTCATTTGGAAAAAAAGGGGGAGCTACCCAAAGTTTTCTGTCTGTCATGTTGCATCCAGAGGAGCTGCAGAAGCTCAAATACCAACTGGGGTTTGATTTCGAGGCTCAGCAGTTGAGAAATTGCCTTAGAAAACAACAAAAAGGCTCAATTCCTTCTCCTAACGCGGCGCTCGCGCCCACCAATCTGATTACTGAGGTGTTCCAGGTTTTCCTGGAAATCACCTCCCGGAAAACTGATTTGGTTTGGTTCCTCATGCCGAGCAGCCCTGTGGCTTCAGCTGAATCCCAGCCTCACCTTCCCTGCCCCAGGAGGGGCAAATACAACCCCCCCAAAAGGAAGCATCTGCTATAATTAAAGGGCTTTTGGTGCCCTTTCGACCTGCTAAAATTTTAGGGGAAAACCCAGGACACAGTTCAATTTGACTGTGCTCTGGCACGTTCATTCTTAAATTTGGGAGTTGGGGGTGAAGCTCTGGGAGCGTTTAGCCAAACTCTGGATCTTCTCAGTCCTTGGCAAGAGCCAAACTGTAATAAATAACTCCAAAATCCAGACCTTTCTCTCAACAGATTGGCAGTTCCCAACGTGAATTTGGTTTTCCTGATGTAACATGAACACTAAGCCCTTTCGGTAGCCAAATGACCAGCTTATTTTAAATGCCTCATATTACTAGAAAGCTGCATATAGGCATCTCATAGCGGGGAAAAATAAAATTTAAAAAAAAAAAAATGAAAAAAAATATTTAGTTCCTTTGTGAACTGGCCATATGACAACTACTTTTTTATCAACTTATTAAGTTGGGGCACTATAATAGCTCTTGCTGAGTTTAGCAATGTTTATAAGCATGTGTTAAACACATAATGTTGTTTTATGAGGAAAAAGGGATAAAGAAAAGTGATGTCACAGATGAATGTTTGAGTGCGTAGACGGCATAATGTATGTATGATTTTTATTTCTACACTGTTGAGCTTATT